CGAGAGAGTCACTCTAATCACAGTACTGTATCGCCGTAACCGCTCAATCGAGTACATCACCGGAGTACATCAACCCGATACATTTGAGTCTAGCGCTTTGTATAGCGTCTCTATTTAATTCAATTCAATTATCAATTAATTCCGAGTTAACTATCAATTATTTTGAGTCAATCATCAAGTTCAATATCGAGAGAATCTCAAGTGCAGTGCATTTTTAAATTATCATTTAATTGACTTTGTCGAGCAACGCAATAGTGTAACATTATTAATTTATCAAGACGCGTGGGTTATTCCACAATAAAGTACATCAACAGTGTGGTTTTATAATTCCGCGTGTTTTAATTTTCCACCTCCTTCCACAATCCCACTTTTCCCCAACCGGCATCTCAATTTAGCTTCAATCTCAAACAAATGGTCCTTCGAGCCGGATAGAGAAAGAGTGCGTGAGAGTGAGTGGAAAATTCTAGAATAAAAGGGACGCCTCGTGTGTAACGGACTTTCGGGTTCCACACGAGCAAATCTACGGACAGGTCAAGACAATCAACAGTGCAGAATGTTGTGCCTAGTGTTTACAGTTGAAGTTCGGTATTGTAAACACCGGTAGTGACATTTCGACCTCTAGTGCTGTGCAACTTCGAAAAACCTCGGTCTCCGTCGGGACTAGCCGAGGGCCAAGCCGCGCGCGCTACGCGAAAACCAATAGGCAGTTGGAAGAGTGCCCTCACCTAATAACGTGCCCTACCTTATCGACAGTGGGCATCAAGTCAACATCAGTCGGTATCTACTTACTATCGATAAGTTACCTCACCCAGAGCAGAGACGACCACCATGTCAGACGCGGAGTTAGGAGATAATCAACGTATGCATGAACGCACTGAGGAGATAATCAAGCGAAATTGAGCCAATTATCCAGATAACTGAGCATCCATCTCAAGCGCACTTCAGTGAAGAAATTACACCGCTGTTTCCTGACGCGACTCCCATTCACCAACAAGAAAATAAACACACTGTAGCCGAGATGAGAACTGCAATAGGCGAACTCAGAGACTCAGAAGTTCCAAACAAATAAACTGGACTTCAAGGTAATTCACTCAATGATATTTATCAAGAATTGTTGCAGTCAGCCGAGAACATTAGCGGTCTCACAGTCGAGGAGTTGGACGGCCAGGAGAAAATTATCAAAGGAGAATGGAATGAATTTCTCATCATCCAACACAAAACTCAGCGAGAACCTCCTGCCAACTCATCAACATATTATTCAGAGCACTTTAGCGGTAACCCTACGCAGTCTACTCCCATCCTGGACTCTACTCAACAGACGAGCATCAAACGGAATGTGTCTGACATGGGAGCGACAGGGGAATTATCCACAGTTCAAAATTCCAAATGCAGCAGATCGACTTCAAGGTCAATAACTTGGACGAGATTCATCAAGAACTGTTGCTATCAGCAGAGAATATCAATAGCCTTACCATCGAAGAATTAGAAGGCCAGAAGAAACTCATCGAAGCGGGATGGAGAGAGCTGCTCAACCTCCAAGAGAAATTCATCGAGAATTTACTTCCGACTCATGAGTATATCACCGAGACTACCTATCAGAGAGCTGCAAAAAGACTCAAATTAGTTGAGAAGTATCGGGTTATATAATTCCGACCTTCTATAGGAATCATCAGGAGATTGTCAACACCATCAACGAGCTAAGGGAATCCAGAGACTCCAGGATTGAGAGATAAGTATCATATTCCATTTATCAATACTTTGGCAAGTGATACGTCTCTCACCCTGTGTTTCTCCCCTTAGCAATCAATCAACTACGAGCTTGGCGGCGACTGAAGGAATTTACGCCTCCTCCGAGTCGACGGAAGGCTCCTAGAGAACAGCATCAGCAACAGTGAACCTCAATCGATGAGAAAGCTCATTAATCGGAAACAGATGAAAAACAAGACAACTTATCGGGAGATCCAAAGTCAGCAGTTCAACAATGAGGATAGATTCATCCAATAGCTACCTCCAACTCAGAGTACATCATCAAGAGTATCAATAGCAGTGCTGAACATCCAAAACTTCAGCTATCATCGACCCTAGCATCGAGAGAGGGACTTTCAGAAACCACTAGAGGAGAGGTCAAGCGTCACTTCCTCATTTTTACGATCAAATCTTGGTAAGTGATACGGCCTCATCTTCTGTGTTTCTCCCCTCAGCAAAATCCACACCAAGAGCAGTCACATCGAAGTTGACGACAACTGAGGGAATTTACACCTTCAAGTCGACAGAAGGCTCATCAGAAGGAGGAACATCACCGGCAAGTTAGATGCATACTAGGAAGATGCGCGATCTCCAGAGTATCAATGATCTGCGCTATCAACAATAGTTCAAGTAAGAGCATAGCCAACAAAGAGAGTGTCGATTAGAACCGGAGCTCTAATCGATTAATCATCAAGAGAATATCATCAACAACAGAAGAGTCATCACCAAAGAGTTCACTAATCTATAGTATCTACGATCATCAACAGAGAGGATGGCCGATCGACCTCTAGATTTCAAGGTCAACGATCGGGAACAATCATCAAAGATCTGCAACGACTGAGCTTCAGCGTCAAGATCATCAATCAACAGTTCTCATCAATAATCAGAGATCAGCACTATACAAACTCTGCAACTAGCTGATCGAAATTATCAAATACCTGGTCCAAGAGACAATCATCATAGGGGCTAACAGCCAAGGCGGATCATCAAAGAGGTTGTCAAGTCCAGAACTTCTCAAATAAAAGATTGGCGCCAACACACAACCATTGATTGAATAACTGTAAGACACAATCAATTGCAAAGTTGCTCGCTAAGGATTCCCAAGTGCACTAAAGGAATCCATGAACGAGCAGTCAATAGAGCTTCACCCAAGAGCTAGGACCAGGACCAATCAACTCAAGTAACAGAGCGATCACCAGATGAACTCAAGTGTGAGATACACAGAAAGTCCACACACACCAGAGACGAAACTGGGCGCTACATCGTCAGATTCCCTCTACGGACCTCACCAACAGCGCTCGGAGAGTCTAAATTCAAGGCCTCACGTCAACTCCAGTCAGTTGCACGTCGTCTCCAGACAGACGAATCATATTCCCAGCTCTACAGAGAATTCATCAACGAGTATGAGGCACTGGGACACATGCGCAAAGCACCAGAAGGAGCAGAACCCGTCACAGCATAGTATCCACCGCATCAGGGGTCTGAGAGACAAGCAATCAGCACGGAACTGAGGGTCACCAGTAATAACCTCAGTTCGACTCATCATAGAACAAAAACGACAGTCATCAATAGTAATCCAAAGCAGAGATATCCTACAGAGAAAGGTCGTTATCGGCTCACCCAGGTACAACAGAGCCCGCGCCTGAGAGCCACTCAATAAATACTCAATAATAGCTGAGATTTGCTAAGGAAACGAAATCCCGAACCAAGCAATCGGCAAGCTCAAGAGAACATCAACAAGCAGACATCACCACAGATTGAGAGAATTTAAGACACTCTCAAGCCTTCAGAGAACATCGAGAGAGCATCAGCGCAGCAAGTCTTCAACTCAAAACCCGGGATTGCAGGGAGCAACTGGATTCAGAGGTAAGGTATCATTTTCTCTATTTATCAATTTGGCAAATGATACCGCCCTCATCCATTGTTTCTTTCCCGAGGTACATCAACACCACCAGAGGAAATCATCAAAGAATTGATCATCCAGTTCGAGGAGCCTATCACCAAAGTGCTCGGATTGTATTGGCATCAATCGTCCGATACATTTCGATTTAAATCAAAGCAGTTTGAGTCAGCGACAGTCACCAAGAGAGTAGTAGCATCAGAAATTGCTCAACTGTTTGATCCATTGGGATTCATCGCTCCAATAATCACCCGAGGCAAGATAATTATTCAAGATCTATGGAGACCTAAGCTCACTTGGGACGAGCCACTTCCAGACGAGTATGAAAACCAGTGGACGAGCTTCAGAGAGAACCTCCACAAGTTAGAGCAAGTCTCAGTGCCAAGGCAGCTGAGACTCTCATCGGAGATATGCAGCATCCAGATCCACGGGCTTGCAGATGCTTCAACAGCAGCAATGGGCGCAATGGTGTACATTCGCACCAAGCAAATCGACGAGCCAGCATCGACAGTATTGTCCTGGCTTGGATCAAGAGCCACCCATCAAGATGGAAGGATTTCGTCCAAAATAGAGTCATCAAAATCCAGGAATCTCTTCCAAACGCTATTATGAGACACATCAGCGGTAAAGAAAACCCAGCTGACTGTGTATCCAGAGAACTCTCACCAAAGGAACTAACAGAACATCAGCTATGGTGGTCAGGTCCTGAATGGATAAATCAGGAACCTGAAAGCTGGCAGTCATTACCACCCGACACTCAGCAGAAGCATAAATAGAAGCGAGGCCATCTCTATCACATCAGACAACCATCAAAGTCAAAGCCTTGGTAGAGCTTCTCAACAGATACTCAAGACTATCCAAGGTCCTCCAGGTAACAGCTACCCTGAACCGAGCAATTGATAGGTGCAGGAGACAGCCAGTTCCTCAAACGCCTGTCCTCACATCTAGAGAACTCAACGAAGCCAGACTGTTTCGGGTAAAAATAACACAATATCAATATATGCATCTGTTCATAGACTTCTCGAGAGAGACTATCAACTACCACGGAGTCATCCGTTAGCAAAGCTGACTCCAACGCTAGACAATGAGAGCATCATCAGGCTAGGTGGCCGCCTTAAGAATTCTCAATTAGCCCGTGACGAAATTCATCCAATTGTTCAGTCTCATCAGTCTCGTCTCACAATGATTGGTCATCGAAGAAGCTCACCAAAGAGCTCTCCACGGAGGGACTCAACTCATCCTAGCCTATACTCACCAGAAATATTGGATCATCGGTGGGAGAGGCATAGTGAGAGCATAAATCCTACGCTGTCCTATCTGCATTAGACACCGAAGAAGACAGGCCCAGCACCTAATGGGCCAACTGCCTGCTGTAAGAAGATCACCTGCACGAGCTTTTCTCCACATGGGAGCGGACTATGCCGGTCCCTTCCCCATTCTCAAATGGCGACTCATAAATGCCCAACCATCTATTGTTCATATCACAGTATTTGTGTGTTTCAGTACATCAGCAGTCCATTTAGAGCTCGCTTCCAGGCAAACAACACAGGCTTTCATCGGAGCTTATAAGAGATTCACCGAAAGGAGAGGTATCCCCGAGGTTATGTACAGCAACAACGCCACTACGTTCGTTGGAGCCTCAGGAGTACTCAACAAGCTGTACAATCAAGAGTCCAGAGAGAATCAACAGATCCAAGCTGCCCTCGCCACAAATGGGACTCAATGGAACTTCTCACCACCGAGAGCACCCCATTTCGGAGGCAAGTGGGAAGCAGTTGTTAAATCGGCTAAGTAACTTAGCCGTAAATGTTTTGTCTGTGTCAACTGCGAGACATAGGAAAAACCAGAAATCAAGAAAGCATCAGAATTTCCAGAAGCCTCTCCAGCATCCTATCTACCGCAGAACAGGCCCTGGAAGATATCATCAATCCGAGCTGTGAGTCGTATTAAATGACTTCAGCCCTAAATTATCAACAGTACATCAGCAATCAGCCCTAAATTATCACCAGTACATCAGCAATCAGCCCTAAATTATCACCAGTACATGAGTAATCAGGAGAAGAAATCTATCGAACAATCAGGAGAAGAAAACTCTCGAGAAGACGATCCAGAGCCAATCAACGAGTAACCAGCAAAGTAAGCAGCGGAGAAATTCAACGCACAATTCATCATCCCTGATGATGAATGGCCCCCGGGATGTTTGAAATTCAGCTATTCAAACTAGTCAAACGGTCACCGGGCTCAACGAAAATCTCGAGAAACTTCGGGACCCTTCGGGGTCACATTCAGCTACGAAGAAAATCCCCGAAAAAGTCTGTAGTATCGCTCTAGCCACCGAGAGAGTCACTCTAATCACAGTACTGTATCGCCGTAACCGCTCAATCGAGTACATCACCGGAGTACATCAACGCGATACATTTGAGTCTAGCGCTCCGTACAGCGTCTCTATTTAATTCAATTCTATTATCAATTAATTCCGAGTTAACTATTAATTATTTTGAGTCAATCATCAAGTTCAATATCGAGAGAATCTCAAGTGCAGTGCATTTTTAAATAATCATTTAATTGACTTTGTCGAGCAACTCAATAGTGTAACATTATTAATTCATCAAGACGCGTGGGTTATTCCACAATAAAGTACATCAACAGTGTGGTTTTATAATTCCGCGTGTTTTAATTTTCCACCTCCTTCCACAATCCCACTTTTCCCCAACCGGCATCTCAATTTAGCTTCAATCTCAAACACAGTTATTAGACATTTTGGTCTATTCCTAGTAGTTAACGTGATAATCACGGTTTAATGATCAACGCAATGCGAATTTGTTCCGTTATCGCCCATAAACCGTTGAATATCTCGAAAATTACTTGGAATAATTGAAAAAGTCAAAATACTGATCTGATGTATTTTTTTATAATAAACATCTTTTGTTTCAACTATTTTTTTCTCCGTCCAACCATTTTTTTTAAAAAGACTCCGGAGCGCGTTGCCGCCGCGTAATAGTGCCAGCGCGCCGCTCGCTGGACTTGCATCCGCGATATCTCTGCAACCATGACAGCTATGAGAAAATGTTATAAGACAAAATATGTCCACTTTTCGATAAGGAACAGTTTTTGTTTGAAACATTTTCTCCTATAGCCAACCATTTCCACGATATTCCGTTTTAAACAATTAAATTGTTATAAACAAAGAGACTGCCCACGATTTCGCACAAACGATCATCATATTCGTAATCAGTGACCTCGAAAACATAGAATCCAGTAATAAAATCTAATGGACATCTCAATGTACACAGAAATACCCCTAGCGTATGGACTAAATTTTCATTGGAAATGATATAGAATGGTCTAAAAAGTATAAATACGAAGTTTAACGATCATGTCTATTTGTCGTCGTCGCCCCCCCCCCCACTTTTAAGAAATAAAGTTTTAGAAAATCGAGTAATAAATTAACAAAACAAGTTTCAAAAAATCTGAAATTTGGTCAAACTACAGGTCCCAACTAGGACTAATTCTGTGCATAAGATCAACTCAATCGCTCTGATAGTTCCTGAGAAAAAGCGAGTTGTTTTTAAATAGTTTTTCGCGAATATCTCCACAACTAGCGGATCGATCACATTTTTTTTTCTTTCAAAATGTTAGTCCTAATGTCTCCTATCTAAATCAATAAAAATCTATATACCCGCCCCTACAAAGTTTTCAAGATATTTTCACTTTTCTGTTTTTTCGATAAAATTCTTGTACGCTCACTAGCTTTCGTAAAAATTGAGATGTCCACTTGAATTTAGGAGAGAACCTTCCGCTTATGATAACGGTTCGTATTTCAGATGGGCGCAATGGAAACATATATAGCCGTTTCATAGAGTTCCTGAGGTATTCTTGGTTTTCTGTTTTTTCCATAAAATCCTTGTACGTTCTCTAGCCTTCGAAATAATTGAGATATCAACTTGAAAATTGGAGAGAACCTGACTCTTTTAATAAAAACCGTTTGCATTTCAGACAGGCTCAATCAGATCAATGGTTTTGGAGATATTTGACTTTTTCTGAAAATCTACTATATGGAATATCTCCAAAACTACGCACCTGATTTCGCTTTTTGCTTCCGAATGGAAGCTTTGCAATGGTCCGATTTTCACATTCTCTAATTTTCATGGGAAATGATGTAGAATGGTCTGAAACGTAAAAATACGAAGTTTGGCGACCATGTCTGTATGTGAATATATCCAGTACCACCTTCCCGATGGTCAATTTTTGGAACTGGTCAATTGGAATTGGTTTTGAAATTGGTCAATTGAGTCATTAAGTGGCTAAAATAATTCATAAAAAGTTGAAATTTGGTCAGATTATAGGTCTCAACGAGAAATAACTCTGTGCACAATTTCAGCCCGATCGGTTAAGTAGTTTNCGATAAGGAACAGTTTTTGTTTGAAACATTTTCTCCTATAGCCAACCATTTCCACGATATTCCGTTTTAAACAATTAAATTGTTATAAACAAAGAGACTGCCCACGATTTCGCACAAACGATCATCATATTCGTAATCAGTGACCTCGAAAACATAGAATCCAGTAATAAAATCTAATGGACATCTCAATGTACACAGAAATACCCCTAGCGTATGGACTAAATTTTCATTGGAAATGATATAGAATGGTCTAAAAAGTATAAATACGAAGTTTAACGATCATGTCTATTTGTCGTCGTCGCCCCCCCCCCACTTTTAAGAAATAAAGTTTTAGAAAATCGAGTAATAAATTAACAAAACAAGTTTCAAAAAATCTGAAATTTGGTCAAACTACAGGTCCCAACTAGGACTAATTCTGTGCATAAGATCAACTCAATCGCTCTGATAGTTCCTGAGAAAAAGCGAGTTGTTTTTAAATAGTTTTTCGCGAATATCTCCACAACTAGCGGATCGATCACATTTTTTTTTCTTTCAAAATGTTAGTCCTAATGTCTCCTATCTAAATCAATAAAAATCTATATACCCGCCCCTACAAAGTTTTCAAGATATTTTCACTTTTCTGTTTTTTCGATAAAATTCTTGTACGCTCACTAGCTTTCGTAAAAATTGAGATGTCCACTTGAATTTAGGAGAGAACCTTCCGCTTATGATAACGGTTCGTATTTCAGATGGGCGCAATGGAAACATATATAGCCGTTTCATAGAGTTCCTGAGGTATTCTTGGTTTTCTGTTTTTTCCATAAAATCCTTGTACGTTCTCTAGCCTTCGAAATAATTGAGATATCAACTTGAAAATTGGAGAGAACCTGACTCTTTTAATAAAAACCGTTTGCATTTCAGACAGGCTCAATCAGATCAATGGTTTTGGAGATATTTGACTTTTTCTGAAAATCTACTATATGGAATATCTCCAAAACTACGCACCTGATTTCGCTTTTTGCTTCCGAATGGAAGCTTTGCAATGGTCCGATTTTCACATTCTCTAATTTTCATGGGAAATGATGTAGAATGGTCTGAAACGTAAAAATACGAAGTTTGGCGACCATGTCTGTATGTGAATATATCCAGTACCACCTTCCCGATGGTCAATTTTTGGAACTGGTCAATTGGAATTGGTTTTGAAATTGGTCAATTGAGTCATTAAGTGGCTAAAATAATTCATAAAAAGTTGAAATTTGGTCAGATTATAGGTCTCAACGAGAAATAACTCTGTGCACAATTTCAGCCCGATCGGTTAAGTAGTTTTTGAGATGAAGCGATTCGTTTTTAAATCGTTTTTCACGAATATCTTTAAATTTATTGGACCGATTTAGATTTTCTTACCTTTCAAAATACTCGTCTCATTATCCTCTACCGAGATTAATTAAAACATCTATACCTGTTCATACAAAGTGTTCGAGATATTCCTCTTTTTCTGTTTTTTTATCAACATCCTTGTACGCGCGCTCACGTGTGCAAAAATCGAGATATCTACTTGTTTTTTCAAAATACTCGTCTCGATGTCATCTATCTAGGTCAATCAAAACATATGTACCCGTTTATACAAAGTTTTGGAGAGGAATTTCAATTAATCAACTTCGTATAAGCGATTTTACATTTTTGGTGTTCCCTAAATTCCTTGTTCGCACAATAACTTGACGAAAAATTGGGATAGGAATATGACGTAAGAAAATAATTTCTCCTGTAAATTGAAAAAGAGAATTGCTATTGATCCATTCGAAAGCTTGGAATGGTATTTTTTATTGCTACCAATGGAATTGGTAGAAATAAAAAATTAAAATACAAATAATACATAAAGTAACATTCACATGCCTTCTGCAATATAGGAGCGGTCAACTGCTTGTTTTCATAACAAATCGATTGTTTATGCACTCGTTGTGTTCTTAGAATATATCAATGTGGTTGTACACTCATTGTGTCGTTATACAGGCAAAGGCGAGGTAAAACAAACCTTTTTGATTTTTTAAACATGTTGATAACTTATTGAATTGTTGATGAANGAATATCTCCAAAACTACGCACCTGATTTCGCTTTTTGCTTCCGAATGGAAGCTTTGCAATGGTCCGATTTTCACATTCTCTAATTTTCATGGGAAATGATGTAGAATGGTCNCATTTCAGACAGGCTCAATCAGATCAATGGTTTTGGAGATATTTGACTTTTTCTGAAAATCTACTATATGGAATATCTCCAAAACTACGCACCTGATTTCGCTTTTTGCTTCCGAATGGAAGCTTTGCAATGGTCCGATTTTCACATTCTCTAATTTTCATGGGAAATGATGTAGAATGGTCTGAAACGTAAAAATACGAAGTTTGGCGACCATGTCTGTATGTGAATATATCCAGTACCACCTTCCCGATGGTCAATTTTTGGAACTGGTCAATTGGAATTGGTTTTGAAATTGGTCAATTGAGTCATTAAGTGGCTAAAATAATTCATAAAAAGTTGAAATTTGGTCAGATTATAGGTCTCAACGAGAAATAACTCTGTGCACAATTTCAGCCCGATCGGTTAAGTAGTTTTTGAGATGAAGCGATTCGTTTTTAAATCGTTTTTCACGAATATCTTTAAATTTATTGGACCGATTTAGATTTTCTTACCTTTCAAAATACTCGTCTCATTATCCTCTACCGAGATTAATTAAAACATCTATACCTGTTCA